CCCCCCCCCCCCCCCCCTGCTTCTTTCGGCATACCTGGTTCGCGCTCGACTCCGTAACAGAGCTCAAACTCAGGTAGAGGGGGGGGCAGGCTTTTCGGCTTGAAAAGGGATTTGAAACCTTGGAATACGAGATCGACATACCCCATATTGTCAACCCGCCGCCTGTGGCGACTACCGGCGGTCAATCCCCCCTGAGCAAACGCATCAATGGAAGGGGGATTGGTGACTATCTTGGTGGCGCAGGACACTTCTTCAAAAGAACGATCTCGAAGATCTTTCGGAAGAACAAAATATCCCCTTCGAGCTACACTCGACTTCTGTCGCATGGACCAACGTTAGTTGCGCTTCGCGCCGACGTGTCCTCGTGCTGTGTCGTTAGGTTGCGTGATTGCGTGTGGGATCGGTCTATCGCCCTTGCTGGGAGGGCACGGACTCCTTTATCATTGTTGCGATTTCCATGATTTCTGTTTTCTTGTGTACAGCGTAGACACCTGTTCGAGTGAGATGCTGAACAGCCCCCTGCACACCATCCTGAGGCCTTCGAGACACCCCCCCAGGGTAAAGTACTCCGACAACGATCGCCCGTCCAGGTTGCACCTGCAGCCAGCGAGCCAGCAACAACAAAAATGACAACAAGCACGCAGGTGTCGACAAAAAAAAGGAGACAGAAGAAAACGAAACGGCAAAAAAAATATTCCTACGTGCACAGCACACGTATGTTATCAGCGTCGGTCGGTTTTTGAGTGAAGCGTTCCGACGACGACAGCCCGCTCAGGCTGCACCTGCAGAGATAAAACGAAATGAACCGTAGCAATAGAACCGAGATTGAACTGCTTTATACTTCTCTTTTGTTGGGAGGAAGTGAGACGGGAAGCACTCCGGCTATGTCACGGTCGCCCGTCGTGGTGACGCCTTGGACAGAACAAGAACCTGACCTATTTTGAGGTTGACGAATGTTCCCGAAGGTTAGGGTTTGGTTGGTCAAGACTCACTTCATTGCTACGTTCCTGTGGCCGCAAGATTTCGTGGCCGAAAGCTTTTGAAGCAGACAACTAACGACTATAATAGCTGCGCGACACGCTCGTTTCAGAGAAGACGGTGACAGGCAGCAGCGACAACAAAGGTAACAACGTCAAAACCCGCAGGACCATCAGCAACAGCAGCAGCAGCAACAGCAACAACATCATCAACAACAACAATATCATAAACACTCACTCTCTTGACTTGACGTATCCCATGTAATACGAAACGTCCCAAGCGTACAGCTCCGAGGACCCCTCCACCTCCATCTTAGCCTTTCGGAGCATGCTCGCCTGACAGGCAAGAACAGATGGGAGAAGGGGTGGAAGGGTGAAAAAGTAACAGCAGTAGCAATGCAAGCAACAGCAACACCAATAACAATAGCCAACACCAGCAGCACCACCACCATCACCATCAATCACCACCAACAGCAGCGGCAACAGCAGCAGCAGTAGCAATAGTAGCAACACCAACAGCAGGAGGAACACCGCCGCCACCAACAGCACCAACAGCGACAACCAACAGCAGCAGCGGCAGCAACAGCAGCAGCAGCAGCAACAACCATATCAACAGTTCATCAGTAGCAGCAACAACAACGATATCGACAACAACTCGCCAACAGCACCCAACCCCAACAAACCTCTTGCTCGGCCTTGTCCCTTATCCCCGCCGACAACGCCTCCAGGAACCTCGCGATTTCCTCCGGGTTCTCAGCCATCTTCTCGGAAGCCATCCTGTGGGCGTGAGAGTCGAACCCCACCCGTCGTGCCAGCTTGTGCCGAACCGCCATCAGCCTTTCCAGCACCTTTTGTGGGAGGGCGGGAGGGAGGAACGGGACGGGGTCCAGCGATGACAAGGTGTACGTGGGGGGGGGGGCTCGTCGTTTCGCGCGGTGGCAACCAAGATCGTTACAAGCCCTCTCTCGTTCTTTGTCTCTTGTCTTCCCCTCCCCACTCCCCCTCTCTGTCTGTCTGTCTCATTCTCTGTCCCATTCTGTCTGTCTCTCTGTGTGTGTCTCTCTGTGTTCCTGTCCCCCCCTGCTCGCTCTGGCACCCTCTCTCTCTCACACACACAAAAAACAACGCAACGACAAAAACGATACTCCTTTCTCCGCCCCCCACTCAACCCCTCACCATGAATTCGAAGTGATACGCCCCCCCCCCCTTCTCCTAACAGTTTGCCACAAAAACTTCCTCATAAATCGTACAGTTCGCGTATCCCCCCCCCCCTACCTGTATTTGGGGATAGATGGTGGGCACAAGAGGCCGTAGAGGACGGGGATAAGATGTGCAAGAAATTTGTATGTAGTTTGTGGCAGAAACGTAAAGAGCTCCCAAATGTTGGTGGTGTCTCTAGTAGGGGTAGGAACGGTGCTCCGTCTCGAAAGGGACGCGTGGTCAATGGTCAAATGACTACGGCAAGCAACAAATGGGTACGCCCCCTACCTGTACGTTCTCTGCCGCCACAGAGTTGCCGGCGAGATACATGGCTCGTCGGAGCGTACCGCTCCTAGCGTTCTTGATGACGTCACTCATGAGCGACTGGTCAGTGAGGAGGGTGAAGCGGTCGGCCGGCTGCCCTTCCGGCTGGGGAATGCGGGACAAGATGAACTCCGGGATTCCGTACAAGTCCTTCCGGTTCACCTTTTTTTTTGGGGGGGGGGCGGATGGGAATGGCGTCGTGCCAGGGGTGGCGGGCAATTGAGGAACGGCCGGATGTGTGGAATCTGTTTTGTTTCTGTAGACCAAATACTTGAACAGAGCACGGGAGAGAATCATGCAAGGTGCTGCGTTCTAAGCAAATCTCAGCGTGACACACACACGGACATCCCCGAAGGTTCCGCCGGTTTGTCCAGCGGAACGTTGGGTTGGCGAGGGACGCATGGACGGAAGCATTGCATATTAACGTCGATGAAACACTTGTGCACCCCAGTACGTGAAATGAAAACGGAAGATGCATTGTCGAAAGTTCCAAGCTTGATACACGCATGGATCCATCCCAGAGATTTTTGTCCCTGTTTTCCGGTTGAAGTTGAAGGGTGGATAGCGACGGGGAGTGGGTCGTTTATCACCTGAAAAAATAGTCGTGCAAAGAGAGTGTGACAATATCACCGACAAGGGTGCTTAAGAACGGCGACAAGGCCTGCGTACATACTTCTATGTGTCTGTATATGTGTATGTTGTATGTACGTATGCACCAGCTACATCAATATCATACCATACCTGAAAGGCTGCTCTCTTGGCGAGAATGTTGTGCTCGAACAGCCGCTCGAGCCGTGTAGCCTCGTTCTGGAGGGCCACCACCTCAGCACTGCCCCCCTCACCCACGACAGACAGAGATAGGCCGGCAGGGAGACAGAGAGAGAGGGGGGACGGAGGGGGAGGGGGCGGGAGGAACGGAGGGACGGAGGGAGAGAGACAGAGAGAGAGAGACGGCGAGAGACGGAGAGAGAGGGAAGGAGAGAGAGAGAAGGATGGAAAGAGGCAGACGACGAGACACGATAGCAGGCAGACATTGTTTTTCCGGGCGACGAGGGGGAGAGAATAAAATCGCTTCGGGGGGCACACAGGGAACAACGGTCTGTCGTTCTACACACGCGCGCACACGGCAGAAGAAATAATTGTTCAGTACAGTGGTGGAGCTGCAGCTTGTCGGGATGGTTTGGTCCTTCATCGCACAAGCAAGGGGCGCCGCGAGCCAGCCGACGACAGCACGAAGGAGTTGCGACCAATAGGCTCTCTCCCCAGCCCGTCCAACACGCAGATGAAAACGCCTCCGTACTCTTCTCCCCGCGAAACCAGGCACAAGTTTTCCTGACCCAACATGATTTTCCTTTTACGAACAAAGGCGGCAACAAACAGCATAAACCTAGGGCCCGAACAACTTGAATTCTTCTCCCGGCCAGACCCCGGGTTTCCCATTCTACTCTTTTCAATATGCCTTCCGGCGGACGCTTGTGTTTCCCCTCGCCCTCACCGCTCCTCCCCAGACAAGTGAATGCCTCCCCTCTCGAACTCCGCCATGTGTAGCCCCAGAACCCGCCGCTGCTCTCCCGTGAAACCGTCCATCGCGCCCTCTTCTTCGACCACCCCGCACAGCGCGCGGTACAGCGAATCGTCGGCATTCAGGTCCTGCCGCCACGCAAACCAAAGCATGCAAAAAAGTGCCAACGCTGTGCTTCGAGTCGTCATGCAGCAGCCACGGAGAGAACATGTGTATGTGCGAGGAAAGGGACCGGAAGAAGGCCGTTGCCGTGGGCTGTCGTACGGGACTTCGGTGCACATTTTTTTGCTTTTTCGCGAGCTGTTATCGATGACTGTCTCGGTGACGATCACTGGGGCTGGTGCCTGTCTTGGGGAATAAGCTATCTGGCGTATGTCGACGTCATAAGAAATACAATTACAACAACAGGGAAACGACAACACACATTACAAAACACCGGTGGACAGCTACCTAAAAACAGCCAGAGCATGATGTATCTTGAGGAGGTTTACAATTTTTTCAAGAGAGGGGATGCAAGGGAAAAACGAGAATGACACCTCACCGTTGTCCTGAACGACCAACCTCAGCCATCTACCATCACCTTGCGGCGTATGGAACCACTACCGAGCATCACGAAGGCAGAGTCCAACAAACCGGGGAAATCCAGTGGCATGAAAAAAAAACAACGTACAAAAACAACATGGAAAATCTCGACCTAACAACAAACCAAAGGGGGGGCCCGTGCATGCGCATGCCACTATGCAGGGGTACCTGGATGTACTCCGCCAGCACCGAGAACGCCTCGTCCGCCGCGTACCGAAACCCTTCGTCGGCGTGGGCATTCCTCACGAAGTCCGCGGCATCGATGACCGAGCACACCGTGTTGCTGATGGCGTCTACCCCCCGAAGGATCCCCAAGGGCGTGGAAACCTCCCCCGTGCTTTGGGAACAGAAAACGAGCCGTGGGGGTTCCGTGTAGTCAGAAGAAAAGAGGAGCAGGGGGGGGGGGTTGGGATAAAATCACGTCCTTCCGTGTGTGGTTAAGGAAATCCGCAGATACGCGTATCTCTGTGCTCAAAATCTAGTACGGGTGGTACTTTGTTTGAAGCACCCAAGCAGCTACCTCCTACAAATTTTCTTTTCCCCGCTACAATTGTACAGCCTTTGTACCGACCATAGCGCACAGCAGTCGCTGCCGCTGTCGCCCCCCCCCGCCCCGATTGACCTCGCAATACCCTCCTGTTCAGGCGGTAGATTCCTCGTGCAGCAAAGAAAAAACAAGAAAAAAGGCACACCTCCCCTCCCCAGCACGCACGGACCGCCTTCGCGAGTATATTATTGATAACCTACGGTATGACACAGAGAGGAGGGTTCCGTATCCCTATCCCTAACCCTAACCCCTTACCCCCTTACTAAAACCAAGCTTAACATTCTCGCGAAGGCCACTAGCAAGCACACCTGATGGCCTTTCTTAGCCTGTCCGACTCCACCACCGCCGCCGCCGCTAGGGGGGCGAAATCCTCGGGGGTGTGAAGCCCCTCCACGCCCGCCACCCCCGGCGTCAAAGCGCCCCCCGCTGGGGCTTTGCTTGCACTGCCGACGCCGGCAACGCCCTGGAGCCTGGGGGTTGTTGTCGGGTGGGGAACGGGAAGACATTCGTCAAGGGCGGTGACGGGGGCGAAGAAAATCGATGGTTGTTGTTGCCACATTGATAAAAAAAAATATACGTACAAAATCACCGAAAGACCTAAACCTGTTGGAGAAAATGCTGTATCACAGGCGAAGGGACGTGTTGAAGTCCTTACAGCATGTGGGGAAGGAATCCGGCTGATTTCTGGGCGTATTTTGGGCATGTCCAAGCCTTTAGCCGTTGTGGTTGTTGTTGCTGCTACGGTGGTGGTGGTGATGGTCGCTAAGGAGAAACAGAATGTCCACGGGCATGGAGAAATCGAATCTCGACAAAGCAATGTGTGACATCAAGAACGGAGTAACAGCAGCGATCTCGACACCACAATTACAAAGGAAAACCCCTCGAGAACTGAACACTCGCTGTTCCAGAGACCGGGGCGGAGAGAGAGAGAGAGAGAGAGAGAGACGGTGGTGCGTGGGGACAATATTCGCAGACGACTCCATTGTTCTTGCGCACTTTAACGCACAGCGCCAGTCGCACGAAAACCAAAATGACGTCTGGATGCTTGTCGTGTAAAACGACTGCGTCAACAACAAGAACCCTGTTACAAAGGTAAGTTTGCGTGTTACCGCCAGGCACCTCACCCTGTCGCAAAAAAACGCCCCCCGGGCCCTTGACTCGCGGCAGACACGGGCAACGAAGATGACGATGGTGACAGCCACGTTGAAATGCGCTGCTGCTGCTGCGGCTGCCGGCTCGTTGTTGCCACGGAGTGAGCGTTCCTCCTCCTAAAGCCGTTGCTGCCGAAATCGTCTCCGGCGGCCAGAAACCTGCCTGACGCCGCCGCTGCTGGTCGAGCCGTAGGCGTAACTGCGGCGGCGGTGGTTGTAGCGCACTTTCGCCCATGCCAAGTGAGGCGGCAGAGAGTTCTCGGTGCTGGTCTTCTTGCAAACCATCGTCGACAAGTGTTCGTACCACCACCGGCACCAGAGGACCTTCGCACCACTAGCATTGCGCCCCCCCCCCTTCCCTAACAACAGAGCTTCCTTTAGGCACGGGAGGGAGGGAGGGGGGGGGGGAGGGGAGGGGGGGGAGGAGACAACAAACGAGAGGGGGATGACATAAACTATTTGTATCTACATCTGCAAGCAATNGGGGGGGGGGGGGGGGGGGGGGGGGGGGGGGGGGGGGGGGGAGGAGACAACAAACGAGAGGGTGATGACATAAACTATTTGTATCTACATCTGCAAGCAATGTGTGAAACGAGGCGCGAGAAAAGTCTTGACAGTCGACATACACATTGTACTGTAGGGGACGCGGGATCCCAACGGGCGATGTCTATTGGCCAGGTGCATTCCTGCACCAGGATACTGGATACCAACACCGCACGATGCAAGGGGATCTTGAGAGGCTCCACCTGTTTGTAACACCCTGCACTTCTACTCTGTTGCAGCTGCAGTCCTTGAGGGTGCGAAAACTGGCTTGCCAAACACCTATTTACCCTGGCACTATGTAGGGAGCTGAGGTGTGTGTAGGCTGTCTTTAAAAGTAGGAGACGGGAGACGTTGCGAGATGACAGCAGTGTGTGCGGTGGGAACATGCGATACAGCTGTCGTACAGTACCGCTACGGATAGTCGACCACAGCACAAGGCATACAGAGGCGACGAAATGCCGCTTTCACGCTGCTTTCAGCTGCTGCAGGACGACTGCTGTGTAGTCGGAGCTCACTGTTGTACGGCTGCTGGTTGTCGGCGGTACAACTTTAGCACTGCTTCTTGAACAACAGCAGTAGCCTAACCCGTATTCAAGACTCCGCTTGCACGGACGGTCCACGGCTCAAGGAAGCGTTTCGCAGTGATCAATATCGACGGGCAGGCGGCGTTGCAAGAACTGCTGGTGCGGGCCTATCAGGCAAGGAGACGTGCATGGCCGTTCACAGAGCTACTACGGGCGTCGCATAGGGTCGTATCGTACATGTGCAACCTACAACGAATGAACGCTTCCAGCAAGACTTGCGGAAAATGACTGATTCGCCTCTGCTGCCATTGTCAACACCACTCACCGAAATTCACAACGACTTGCTGGACCAAAAGCAGTATGCGTGCCACGACAAAAGAACAAGCGATGTGAGGTGCTTATAGGGGTTGCACTGCCGTGCGAGAGCGGCGCAGAAAGCGGCACAAACAAAGAGAGAACTGACAGTCCCGCCAAACCGGGGTTCTGGGGATTGGGAGTCCCCACTTGCCTTCTTTGCCTCCCCCCTTCCATTGTTGGTGGATAGGGATAGAGGACAGAGAGAAAGACACGCTCCGGGTTCGGGCTCTCGCTTGACGGCAAATACTGCTGTTGCGCGACCGCGGTTGCCCAACTGTTGACACTCACCACGGGAGGCTGATACAAAGCACACAGAACTCTCCCTAGAAAGACCGGCACGAAGTCAACCCCACCGCATAGCGTAGGTTTCGAAGAAACTCTAGCGTGTTTCATGTCAAAAATGTTTCATGTGTGCACCTGACAAGCGTGTATTTTCCAGCAGAGACGGATCGCGGGAACAACACAAGAGGCTTGGCTTCATTTTCAATACAGTTAGACAAATTGTCAGTGCTGAGAAACGACAACTACCGTGTAGACTGTACGTTTGCGAGGAGGGTAGTCTACATAGCCAGCCGCGACAACAACACAGCCGCAAGAGACTAGTCTACAAGTACATGATCCACCAGAACGATCACTCATTTTTTTTGTGCCAGTGCTTTATTCCGCCCCTCGCAACGAAATCAACTTACTTTGTAGCGCGAGAGAGTCTCTCCTCGGCTTCCACCTCCTGCCACGAAATCAACCCCATCAAACCAAGAAAAAGTGCCAGTGTAGGACAGTCTAGACACACGAAACGGGTCGCGTGATGCTACCACAAACTGCCGCTCAGGGCTAACACGGAAGTACCAACTCCACTCTTTGTAATCTCTCGTGCATCGAATTTCAACAAAGGTATTCTTCTCGTGGGCGCTCCCAAACACCCTAGCATATCTCCTCCACCAACAAGCAACCAAGTACTCCAAATATCGCCAATAGCACGAAGAGGATGCGTTTCAACTCTCGCCAAGCCACCCACCTCTCGATTATGCATCGTTTGTCTCATAGAAAATGCGAACCACCTACCATTCACACCGTGGATCACGATTCTGTCTCATTGAACAACAACCGACCCGCTAAGATCTTCATTCTGCCAGCCACAACCGACCACGACCTTTCTTGGTGGAAAGAACGAGTCATATCCGCGAAAGGACGCCCTGAGGATTGGCCGGTCGCTTGGTGGATAAGGCCTCTCTTGTTCTTCCAAATCATCAACACAATTGAAAATACTGGTTCGACGAGACAACGGCTATCGCATCCTCACGAAATAGCATATGTCACCAGACAGTTGACGAAAATTTAACACTTGACGCATGGTCATGCTCAGGCAGGTAGAAAACAGGGTGGGGGGGGGAGGGGTGAACTCATGGTCGTGCATGCCCTAGTCGTTTGACCACTGAACTCGCATCCCTACAAAGCCGGGACGGAGCACGCCGGGTTCTCACCGGACCAGGCTCTCACATCACCAAGGTGAGCCGGGGGGGTGGGTGGAAATCGACCCTTTATCCGTCNCGTGCATGCCGTAGTCGTTAGACCATTGACCTCGCATCCCTACAAAGCCGGGACGGAGCACGCCGGGTTCTCACCGGACCAGGCTCTCACATCACCAAGGTGAGCCGGGGGGGTGGGTGGAAATCGACCCTTTATCCGTCGTACCCGAGTCGAGAAGTCAGCAGTGCGTTTCGCAGCGAAGAACTAAATATGGAAAACGGCACTGGGGAGGGACCGATACCAGGCGACGGGACTCCGCTTTGTACGTAGCAGGACCGAGACCAGAAATGAGGGGCGAAAGAAGCATGCCACCCACGACGAAGAAGCACCTTCCTACTTCTCCTTCTTTTCCGCGAGCCAATCCCGGTACTTCTCCAGAGCGATCACCCCGTCGGGTGTGGACTCAAGCTTCTCGCCCGCCTTATCCTGGCCGGCGATGAGCTCCGACAGCGAGTAGCGGTGCACGCTCTGCACTTCCTCCTGCGGGTGGACAGAGCGGGAAAAGGCCGAGGTAAACACATCTTCCACAAAAGCACTCGGCCTCGGCTCACCGCAAGGACGCTTCGTGGCCTTAATGGAAGAAGCGTCGGGCTAACAGAAGAAGCCGCAGGAAAATCCACCGATAGGCGTATATACACCACAGGGCTGTCGACAGCGTCCGCCAGAAAACCCGGCCGCTGAGCGTTCCAACCCAAAGCCCACCACTCACGACGACAACGACGCTAGCAGCAGTCGTGTCACCTCCAACAGCACACTGAAGGTCTACAGCTTGACAAAGGCACCCAGCAAGAAAACGTACTCGTCGTCGCCATGGCTCATCGAAGTTCGTCAGCAACCGGTAGCAATGTACTGGGGCATAGGACGTGAGCTAGAAAAAAATCGGCAAGTGAAATCGATGGGAAAGGTGAAGCTTCTTTAGCCACCTTAGGGAAAAGAAGGAAGGAAAGAGTGGTGATCGGTTACTGTGGAAACAATGATCCGTCCTCTCGAGGACGCGTGGTCAAAGGTCTATAACCGCCAAGGCGTGCAAAACATGAGAGTACGCACACCCACCGGCTGAGGGACGATCTCCCCTCCCCAGACGCAGTCCCACGCGTCCCCCCAAACGTTGGTGTGGTTGTCCTTGTAGTGGAACGAGAAGCAATGCCGGAGCTCGCCTTCCGCCCTCCCCCCGCCCTCCCCCTTCACCCCTGTCGCCTTAACGCCCATCTCTTCCTCCAACTCCCGCCTCGCGTTGTCCTCGTAGCTCTCGCCGTGTCCCACCACGCCTCCTGTTGGGACAAACGGGAAGGATGGTTGCGATTCGCGGGCGTGGCAGGTTATGGTCGGGCTTTGGATTTCAACGTGAGCGTTGTTGTTGCTGTTGTTTTTGCTGTTGTTGTTGAAACTGTTGTCGCTGTTGTTGTTATTGTTGCGGTGATGCTGTGGTCGTGTTGATGCCTGCATCGGTTTATCACCTCGCCTGAACGGCTTCATCGGGTTGTCGCGAAAACCAGCGCTACGAATACGGAGATACGGAGAACCGCCACCCTTTCGGTGTTCCAGGCACATCACATCCCGTCCCATTGCTTCTCTTCTCCGGGATCCGAACATGCACGGGCAAGCTTTCGCAAGCCAATTAGCGTATCTAACCCCCTCACGGTCCTCCCTGCGGACATATTTCTTCGGACGCGCGTACTCCAGCAAGTTTCCCCTATGCTACAATATCCTAGTCAAAAAATCACCTCCCCCCCAAAAAATGATCGGTGAGATGCCTCAGTCTCTTTCACCCTTACTCTCTACTCCCCTCCGCTAGTTGCACCTGTGCTGGGATCTAAAAGGCCTGGGCAGTAGTCCTTGATCATCGTCCTTTTCTGCACCCAGAGATCTGGGTTCATCTCGCTCTCGCCACCCGGGGCTTGAATGAAGACATACGTTGCGCGATGCGGCAGATTGTCTCGGCGCTGCGAGGGGACACGCGGACAGGCGTGCGGTAGGGGAAGGCGCGGGGGGGGTGAGGGCCCTTCCACTTCGTTGCAGTGCGTCTGTCCATTCCGACCACATCACTGCATTGATGGTCGTGCCCACGCACTTTGATTGTTTGAGAATAGCCGGGTGATGGCAGGCAGGGGGGAACGACGTGAGTGCACATTGAACGGCAATGAAGGGAGGGCTGCTGTACGGACTGCAGTCCAACCTAGAGAAAACAGCAGTCCACGCGCGCAGTAGTCGCACAATTGGAAAAAAATCCTGAGAAACGAAGGCTTTTTTAACTCCTTCCGACAAACACTTTCCTCCGCCCAATCCGAAACAGTCTGCCTGCAAATATGATGTAGTCTAGAACGTTAACTCCCGACAACCACGAATCTACCTCCAAATTTGTGTAGATAAGGGCTCAAAGCTTGGCTGCTGCCGGTTGAACCTGCTGTTGCCGGAGGTTTAGTTTAATGCTTCTCTGTTGGGAAACTACAGTACTGTCTTCCAGGGAAAATACGCTCAGGCTCCGTATCACCAAAATATATAAGGGTACAGGGAGACCAAGCTGCCGCACGGGTAGTTAGAAACTGCGAGAGACGTCAACAACAACGGGGAGGAAAGACTTGAGAAGCACTGGGGACATTCGGCTCAGCACACCCTCACAGCAGCAGTTGATGCAGCAACAAAATCGGATACTGTAAATATATAGAAACAGCGAAATCACCTTTGCTATTTACCCCTCCGTTGTTGTCGCAATTAAGCCACAGCACGCTCTACGCATCACGCGTATGTACCCAACGCATATCGTACACCCTCCGGTTGTGCCAACACGACCGAAGCACGCCTGTTGCCAACATGTGTTGCGATGGGACTAGTCTACCTGTTGTTTGAAGTATGTGGCCACATATCATAGTCTACTGCTGTAGACACTGCAACACTGCAATCAAGCAGACCTCGGATAAGCTGGAGCTCGAGTGTCCGATTAGCAACCGCCGCATTCACGTTTCACTCTGATGCACAGCTTAGCCATTCATATTGACCATCCTCGTGTAACCCTCCCCCCCCGGTACGCTGCTGCCTTCGCGCTGTCATGTATCGACATACATAAGTCGAACGACTCACCATCTCGGCCCGGCGTGCGGAGCCGGTGACCTCGTTGGTGCTCTCGCTTACGATGGCGATTCTCTCATCTGCATCCAAGCCGCTCTCTGGGTTCGCCACCGCTGACATGGTGTAGGAGAGAAGGACACACGCCAAAGTGTGATGCCAGCAGCGCGTGCTTGAGCGAAAACGCGGCATGATTTACGTCTTGCTTCGGGACTTCGGGATGATGTCAACCAATCACAGTATTCCATGTTTTCGGGAAGATCAAAGTGGCGGTTTCAATGAATACAGGCGATCCGCGCGCCGACGACGTTAGCCCGCTTAATTTTGAGCGAATCCCCGAGCACGCTCTCTCTTCGTAGCGCAACCTCTTCCTCGCGACATCGCTTCACACACCCGCTAAACGACAAGAAAGGAAGCAAGAAGGCCAAACGACTGCTGCAGTACGTAACTCCGCCATCCCGTCGCGCTTTCGTGGGATACATACCACAACCTTCGTGTAGAAAGATGGTGTCGAAGCTGTCCGCCCTGCTCTTCTTCGCCGCCCTGGTGGGTACGTCCCTGGCCTACTGCCCGAACTCCTGCAGCGGCCACGGGTCCTGCGGGACAAACGACCAGTGCACATGTTACCTCCGTCCAAACGGGGACGCAGCTTGGATCGGGGCTGATTGCTCGCTACGCACCTGCCCAAAGTGAGTCCAGGGAGAGCGAGAACCACCCTTCGTTGGTGTGTCCCCGTAAAACGACCAGATGGTGGTGTGACTGCGTCTCAGGTTATCTTGGTTTGCCGAATCCTGGGACGACGACAGCGCGAGCGTAGCTCTTGCGTGTGGCTTTTCGCCAGTGCCTCCTGTTTTACGGACCGGTGCACGAAAAAGAGGCGTGGTGCGCGGTCTGTCGGCGAGTCAGTCCACGAGGAGACGTTGCGGCACGGCCCGCATCCCCGTGTTTGGTGAAAAGAGTGTTGCGCGCTTGTCGACTTTATATCTGCAATCCCGATTGTTGCGAGTCAGAAATACGAATCCGTTCGTGTACGACCGGTGCTGCCCGGTGGTCTTCAGGGTACACAGGTTCACTCGACGCAAGACTTGATGTTTTCCTCGCGAAAGCGCAAGATCATTCAAAACGTGTCCCTGAAAGTAGTCCAGAGAGCGCAGCTCGGCTTCCACATTAAAAATACGAATGTGAAAGAAGACGAAACGTAGGGCTATTCTCCAAAAAACATGGCGTATCCGCAGCTCCTTGCTCACGAAGAGGCTGTATATCTGTGCGTCCTTCGGAACACGAATGCCTGCTCAGTAGCAACATTTTGCTGTCGTTGTTGTTGTTGTTGTTGTTGTTGTTGTTGTTGTTGTTGTTGTTGTTGTTGTTGTTGTTGTTGTTGTTGTTGTTGTTGTCGTCGTCGTTGTCGTCGTTGTCGTTGTTCTGGTCCTTCACATGGACCTCTATCCTTCTTCCATTGGAACTCTTCAGGGTGTGTGCCGTCCCATCGATTGACGCCAGTCTGCGGCACCTACCCTTGGTAGTAAATATTTTCGGTCGCACCAGCCGGAGTATCAGTCATACAGGTAGAGAAGGGAAATGCCATGGTCAAACCATGTCACGAAAGCATTCAGAGCACTCGTGAAGGAACCGAGGGTGCCTACACATCGTAAGATAACGAGCAGGGAAGTGTAGAAATTGAAAAAAAAGAATGCGAACGGAGAGCACTTGCTCCAATCACCCGGACGCTGACACATTCGTACAAACGAAAGCACTAGACCACTCAATACAACGAAGAATATATACTTGAGCGTCCGTTGCCAGCTCTTGCCCGGTTCTTTGGTAGACGGGTCAGGATATTTCGCGGGCTACGCTGAAACCCATCATAGGCGAGTTCCAGCCCTTTTCTCCTCGGGGACTCTACTGGTACCGGATAAGCCGAGCAGTAGCATCCATGATTCAACCAAGAACAAAATGCCAGGGTCTTGTATGGCTACCGGCAGCCAACTCATCGCGCCGAGATTCCATGGGGAACAACACACCAAAACCGTTTCTCTACGCGTTGCTCACCTCTCTATCTATTTGTCTGTCTGTCTGTCTGTCTGTCTGTCTGTCTGTCGGTCGGTCGGTCTGTCTGTCTGTCTGTCTGTTTGTTTGTCTGTCTGTCTGTCTGTCTGTCTGTCTGTCTGTCTGTCTTTCTGTCTGTCTGTCTCTCTCTCTCTCTTGCTCTCTCTGCTCCCCTCAACCCCTCCCCCCCCCCTACGTAGGGGAGCGGCCTGGGCGATGGAAGCAGTGGCCGCCAACAACGCTCACCCGGAGGTAGAGTGCTCGGCGAAGGGCACCTGCGACCGAGCCACGGGCATCTGCGCGTGCTTCGAGAACTACGAGGGCGTGGCCTGCGAGAGGACCATCTGCCCCAACGACTGCTCTGGGAACGGGTTCTGCTTCACCGAGAAGCAGCTGGCCGCTGATGCCGGGGGAACGTGAGTAGACCATTCCTACGTGCACGGTAATATTTTTCTGCCAACATTCACTCTTCTTCAGTGTGCCCTGCACTGGTGAGGGGAAAGGGAGAACGAACGCCTGGCTGCACTCGCCCTACGACGTATCCCTGGCTCGAACACCAGCGCAATTATCGCCAAAAAGTCAAAATCCCATTATAGCTATCCCCCCAAACTTGTGGCACAAAAAGAAAGAGCTACAGCTTCGCGGAACCCCCACCCCGACTCTGCGCCTTATTGTTACGCAACCAAACACCGGAAATTAAAACATCCTTCGTCCACCGTGCAACCGGCACCAGCATCATCAGTCGCCAGCTTGCCCTCCCCACCCCGCCGCGTGACGCTTCGCGCTTGGTGATGTGCTCGCCTGGTCCGGTGAAAACTCAGCGTGGTCCGTCCCGGCTTGGTAGGGATGCGAGGCCAATGGTCTAACGACTACGGCATGCACGGCTATGAGTACCCCCCCCCCCCCCCCCCNCCCCCCCCCCCCCCCCCCCGCGCCTGTCAGACGTTACACTCAAAACGCCTCTCCTCTCTACCAACAATAGGTACAACACGCCCTGGGACGCCGAGAAGCAGGTCGGGTGCAAGTGTGACGCCGGGTTCCGCGGCCCTGACTGCTCCCTGCAGGAGTGCCCCTCCGGCGCCGACGTCATGGGCGGGGACGGCTCGACCGAGGGCCGAGACTGCTCCGGTCGCGGTGAGTGTTAATTCGTCGACGAGGTACCTTGGTTTCGGAATATATCCTGTCTACTACCCAAGTGCACCTGTTATACAGTAACTTGGTACAACATATATGAGTGTCCAAAGTTGTTGTAGCTATTGTCTTTACACAAAAAGAAACGTTCCGGTCTCCGCTCAGGGCCTTCCAATCCCCGTTCTGGCCCAACTGACGCGGACGCCTTCCGCGGTCATAAGTCAACTACCCAAAGGGAGGTACACCTTTAGTAGAACGAAAAAAAAAGAGGACCCAGAAAAAACAAAGTGCGCGCAACTGCATTCTTGCACTCTAGCTTCTCCGGATTGCGTCCTCGTAAGGTATAAGGTCCCATGGCGCAGGAGTTCCACACAGGAGGAACAACTTGTATGCAGGGTGGCAAGGGCAAAGGCATACCGCCGTGTCTGCGGCAGCACACGCCTTCGGCACCGTCGGTGGACAATTCGTCAACCCCATGCCCGGAATAGACTCGCTTGTCCCACACCTCTCCCGCTCCTCGCCACCTCGGTTCAGCGAAAGACCCTAAACCACACTGACGTATCGTCCTTGCCCGTCTACTCCTCTTCACGTACACGACACCCGCGTGACAATTCTCTCAGGCATCTGCGACTACACCACCGGGCTGTGCGGGTGCTTCCTCGGCTTCTACGGCACCATGTGCGAGTACCAGACCATCTTGTCGTAAGAAAAGGAAGGACGGGGCGCAAGTCCATTGCCCACACCATTCCTTAGGGTCGTGGAGACGAGGCGATTGCACCGCCGATGGTGGCGACGCTGCGTGGCACTCAGACGGGATCGTCACCCCCCCCCCCCCCCCCCCCCCCCCCCCCCCCCCCCCCCCCCCNCCCCCCCCCCCCCCGTATCTCACTATCTTAAAGTGAAACATGGCGGACGGTGTTACCCGTGAGCAGCAGCAGCGGCAACAGCAGTAACGCGTTTTTTTTTCTGTCACCACTAACATCCTTTCTTGCCGGAATCTCAGGCAATCAAGGCAACGATCAGAGAGGGAAACTATGCTGCAGGATGGATCGTCTACTTTTTGTTTGCTGTCTCGACGTCTGTTTCGTTCTTTCTTTTGCGGGTTTTGGTCGGTGCGTTTAAGTCGGGAAATACACCACCCGGCTTGTGTTGCATTCGATGAAATTTGTGAAAAAAAATAGATACTACGGTAGGAATCTTGTTTTTCGAGCCTTTAATGTAACATTCTCCCGTGCGCAAGACAGGGTTGCTGCTTGTTGTGTAAGGGCA